ATAGACCAACTGACCAGGTCCATTTTTAATAATTTCCAGTTTCCAGAAAAAATACAGAAGCGCTGTACACCCAAAGACAGACCCTTGTCCTTCCGGTGAAGGTGGACTGCAGAGTTTTGACCTGAAAAGGCAGCTTTCCTGTGTTGTGTTATGTTCTTGTGTAACTGTTGTTTATTTTCTCTAATGTAAACATCTGCTGGACAGTCCTCACTACACTGGACTGCATAAACGACGCCACTGAGCTTCTGTTTGGGTGTTTTGTCTTCTGGATGAACCAGTTTCTGTCCGAGGGTGTTGTTGGGTTTAAAGTTTACCAGGATGTTGTGTTTGGAGAAGATTCTTCTAAGTTTCTCTGAGACTCCTGCCACAGATAGGATGACGGTGCCTTTGCCCAAAGGATTTTGTTGTTAGGCTGGTAGCAAAGGTCTCATGTTTAGTGTTAAGTTCAGTGAGATCAAGGAATGGGATCAAGAATTTTCTACTGACAGGAAAAAGATCTCAGCTAACATAGCTGTAGATCACACTGGATAAGTCTCTGTGGTGCATTTATTTTACTACCTCTTACTAGAGCTGTCTTTAGTAGGCGCAAAATACAATTGGTTGTACACCTGTGCAATAGCAATAAAGTATCTTGATTTCTGTTAAATGTACTTCCTGAATGAGTGACCTTTTCAGACTAAAATAACAAAATGACAAATACAGACTGAAGGACAACTTCTTTCTTCTTTTGTAACTCATTGCATCACCACCTGGTATCAGAACAAGACTCAGTATTGGAAGATAATCAAAAATCAAACAACTTGGACTCGGATCAGGGGCAAAAATGTGGTTGTAACATCTCTAGATATAAGTCAGCCTTATAAACTAAAACTGTTATTTATGAACTAACATTAACACTAATGACACTAATTGATATATTTTTATTATGTTGTTTGAACCCAAGGGTCTCATTATCTGAATTTTCTAACTTGTTGGATTGCTCTATAAGTGCCCCTTTTTTTACTTTGAGCACCCGCCCCGTCAAAGGTCTCTGCACGGCCCTGGTCCTCAGGTACAAATGACCAACAGCTCTAGCATCCTACAGGAGCAAAGTTAGATGACATGAGGCATCTCGAGGTGGGAGGTCATATGGAGCACTGAACAGACACTTTGAAAATACTGCGGGAGATAAAACTAGAAACAGCAAAAAGAGGCAAACCTACAGATGCCTGGTACGCCTTTAGCAAAGCACACAATTCCTGTGTGACCTCATGTGCTATCTGAACTCTCAAACCTTTCTCTGCAACTCTAGGTCCAGCCAGTCACACTTTGTACAGACCAAAAATCTAATCTAAATTTAATGATGATCAGCATCAATGGGCCTCCTTTAGATCTCTTTGAAACGACCAAGGCAGTGCTGCAACTAGGTTGAAAACAGCGCTGGACTGACCATAGGGCATAGCGGGCAACTGCCCGCTGGGCCGACCCTTTCATCTTTTATGGGCCGGTGTCTGTTTTTTTTTTTTTTTTTCCTGGCCTCTAGTTGTTGCGGACAACTTGCCTGCGCCGCCCCACGCGACGCCTCATAAAAGTTGGTGGATTGGCCAATTGGTAATAATACACTCTGGGCTGGACCAATAGCCAGAGGTCTGATGCACCCGCCAGTTGTTTGTGAATCTCAGTAAACAGACAGACGAGCTTTACAAAATGGAGAACAAAAAACGGAAAGGAGGAGCGGAGAAAATTCGACTAAAAAAGAAACTGGCACATGTGTTAAAATCTCACAGTTGTTTGGTAGTGAAGGTTCAAGTAAAATCAATTTAGGAAGGGATGGAGCCTCAGCCCAGCGACAGGTTGGAGAAGAAAAGAGGGAGGAGGAGGAGAAACCCGAGCCGGTGTTGTGCCATAAATTGACTCGCTGCCAAAAAATGATTAGCCACTGCGGGATCGCGCACGGTTAGGTAATTGCATTTCTAGACAAAATTCCCCAGGATTTCGCCCTAAAACTCAGCATATCTAGCAATATGGACATTCAGAAAGCAAAGATAACCTCTTCCGGTACTTAAACAGATGTTTATCGCGGATATTAGTGTGGCAGTGTTTGTGGCACCCTGCGCGGGAGCACGAGGACGTGCTTGTGGAAAGAGGGGGGAAGATGTGACCGTGTGAGCGTCCTGTCACAATGTCCCGATTGATCATGCGCCCTGGCTACTGGGCTAAGGAGATGTCTCTTTGGCTGACTGGTTAGAGCGTATGACTCTCACCCGGGAGTCTGGGGATCGAATCCCGCCCGGGCACTCCTTTCTGCACCTTGCCACATTAGTTTTTCCAGTTCGGAAGTTGTTTTAAGTGTTGCTATTTGTCTTAAACGTTCACAATGAGGATATATTAATCCTTTTAGCAATATTTGCGATTGAAAGATGGTTTGTGCCACAAACTTTGTGGTAAGAACTGGCTTTCTTTATGTTACAGCCTTGATACTAAAAAAATAAATAAACAATGTAAAATGGCACCCTGTATTGAATGTAAACGTTGTATAAATGGAAATAAACAATTCTCCAGCGATTTAATTTTTTCCCCTTCCTTTCTTTAGTCTACTTGACATGGAGCCACAGTTAACTAGTTTGGGGCACATTTTTACTTGAAAAAAAGTATTTAAAATGATCAAGCACTGACTTTAATGACACTGTGTAGGTTGCTATCTATACATTACGTTGCTCTATTTAAAAGTAACAAGATAAAAGCACTTCAGCACATAAAATTAAGATTGTCACTTGCCAAATAGACTACACCCTCCCGTTTACCTATAAGAAACGCCTCAAAATATCTTTAAATTCTTTATTGATGATTTAATTGTAGACAACTAAAATGGCATTTTACTTGCCAAAAAGTGATTGAATCGCTAAGATTTTCATGGAGGCTAAAATTGACCAAATAAGGGTTTTATGTATTATCTGTTGATGTTACTGTACTCATACTGTCTACTGTATCATCATAAACACCCCAAAAATGGCAAAAAAAAGAAAAGAAAAAAAAAGAAGATAAATTCCCTTGCCAAAAATTGATTACAGTGTCCTGGTCACGTGTAAAGGGTTACATTTACCTAAATATTACTTTATTTATTATCTCTTGATGTTATTAGTGCCATCACAGGATGCTGGGTGTCTTTCACATTCATAAACACTTCAAAAATGGCAACAAATGATCATTTCCCTTGCCAAAAATTGATCACAGAGTCCTGGTCACCCATAAAGGCTTAAATTGGCATAAATATTACTTCATTTATTATGATGCTGGGTGTGTTCCACAATCATATTCGAATAAACATGAAAATATTCCGTCCGAATATCTGTTTCTTGTTATAAATATAACAGCTAGAAGGATTTACAGTTAAAATAGGAGAAACACGTGACTCCCCAGGAAGGGTCATGACACCACTTGCCTCATGCACATAAGTGAACAAATTAAAGCAGCATGGAGACACTCCGTCTCCAACCACCTCTCAGGCAGCAGCCTGCACTCCCAAGTTCTACACATCACCAGAACATAAACAACCGCAACACATTAAAAGCAGTGTTATACAAAATGGAAGGCCTGTAGTGTTTATTCTCTTACAGTAACAACTTATCAATTTTTTGGAGGAATTTATTTGAGAATTTTTTGGTTTTTATTAATTGTGCAATAGAAAAGTAATCGCTAGATTAATCATCTAAATAGTCATTAGAATAGTCGACTATTCGATAAAATAATCATCAGAATAATCATTTTAAAAATAATCAGTTACCCCCAACCCTACTTTTTAGAATACCAGGATAGGAAGGATGGTGTAGGTTTACGTTTATTAGATTGATACATAAATACTACCAATAACGTTGGTGTGTGTCAGAAACAGCGTAAGGCTTAATGTCTTTTCCAAAAAAAACAGGTGATGGGCCGGTCTCCAGTCAAAATGCCCGGGCTGAATTTTTGTCCCAGTCCAGCCCTGGTTGAAAAGCCATCATCCTGCCACCCAAGCCAAAAGAAAATGTGCCCCAAAGAGGCTTGAGTCCAAACTGATTTGGAAGCTTTTGTAGCCCCATGTTGTAATTATGTGAAGCAGGTTGAAAGCAGTTCCTGTAAAGTGCTTTTTTTAATATTCAGACAATTTGATTTGTGAGTTTTGTACATTTTTGCACTGTACTTGTCTTTGGCTGTTCTATTTTTAAATAAAAGTCAGTTATTAATGGAAAGATTTTACAATGCCTGTGTATGTGTGTGTGTGGGGGGGGGGGACACGACAGAATAACCAATACAAAATGAAAATTCTACAGGGATATAAAAACGGTATATAGAAGTTCAACTGCTTGTTTCCAAAATAATAATTTAAGAACAGATTGGTTTTCAACACCTTTTGATGGGAAATGGGAATTAACTCTCTTCTTTATTTTCCCTCCACATGAAATATTTGGTCCAAGAAATTAGGCAGTTCAAACTTGGTATCTGGATTGAGAGCTTTGATTTGTGTTTTATTGTACGCAGATGATGTTATGTTATTTTCTGAAAACTGTGATAATCTCCAAAATATGCTTGATATTATGTACCTATGGTGTAGAACATGTCATATTACTATTAACTCATTTACTGCCATGGATGACTAAAGTCGTCGTTTTAAATCCAAATGCTCGCTGCCATTAACGACTAAAGTGAAGAAATGAGTCTACTCTTTGTTTTGCTAGTTTGGGTGTTTACGTGGTCATAGAGCACAATGTTCTGACTCTTCAGAAAAACAGTAAAAATTCTCAAAAACGCTGGCTTTCTGATCAGGAAACGGCTGGCAGTGAATGAGTTAACAGCAAAAAAAAAACCACAGGTTTTTTTTAGGAGAAAAAAGTGAGTCCTTAAAGTTGACCTCATCTTATAAATGTTCAGGTTTTCTTGTAGATGAGAGTATGAGGTTGGTGGTGGGGGGTTGGTTTTATGGTAACTTTCTGTAATAAACAAAAAGAGTTAATACGATGGGCATACGTATCCTTTTTCTTTACCTGTATCTGGTTTTCTGGCCCCGCCCACAGGAGACACTGCATGCTGCCCAACTGGACCAGGTGCTCCACAAACAGGTATCCTGGCAGCTGTGGTTGGTGCAAAGAAGCTTTCCATCAGTGCAGCTGCAGTTGTTGCAGTCTACTTGATGTAAGCTGCCGGCTGCCCAGCTTTGTCCCAGTGAGTCCAGACAGTCACATTGCCACAGCTCCACACATACATTGTCCTGCTCCAAATGACCTGAACACACACACATAATTAAACCGGTTTGTGTAACATAACACATGATCTATTTTTGTTGTTGAAGTTGAGTGTGTCCTATTTGCCCATTGTGTAACCTCTAGTTTCACTTCTCTTCAGTGGTATAATTTCAGAGATGGAAGGTGGTTTTCTTCAATAGTGTTACTGAGTACCATCCTGTATGTACAGTAGGTTGTGTGAACTACATGAGACAACACACCAAAGCAGCACACAATGACAACTTTATACAGAATACTTTGTTATCACAGTTCCCTCTTTAGATCTCACATTCCTCTCCACACCAGAACTCTGGCTCCACCCTAAAAAGGAGAAACAACTGATTTCAATCATTGATAGCTGGTTTTGATCTACTCTTGCTGCTGTCAAAACTGGCTGACCTGCCTCTCCCCTCCCACTCTCTTCTGCAGCAACACAAGCCCCTGCTCCACCCACGTTCCCACTGACAGGTGCTGGCTGAAGCAACCACCAGCCAAGCCTACTCCCTCCTGAACTGAGATAGGATGTAGGCCACAGCTATGCACACTGTGGATCACCTAATATTTGAAATGTTCCAAAGCGAGAAACCAACAAGTGATTAGCTCACTGGTGTGCTCAGTAGCACAGATCTCATCCAGCATGGCATCAAGAATTCCCTCGGTTGACGATACATATGCACCCCTACTGAACACAAAGCCAAATTGTACAGAAAGAAGTTGAGGCTATTCCAGAGATTAGACTGATTGAGAAGTTACACAGTGCCTGCTGCAGCCTTATTATGTCGCTGAACAAGAAGGATAGGACCACTCGGTTTTGTGTGGATTTTCAAAGGGTAATAGCACCATCATTTTGGATGGACTAGGCTCAGCATGGTGATATACAACATGGTATCTAACAAGAGGACTTTCACAGATCTAACCCCGCCTGAGTCTACAGGCTTCCTCTACTGGACAGCTTCAATTTGCGATGTTCAGCTTGCACGGGCATCCAGTGATACTTCTGTGTAATTGGTACCCCACTGCTCTGTCTGGTAATAAATGGGAAAGTAACTTAATCTGACTGATGGGATGCCTTTTTGGTTTCAGGGATGTTTGCCTATGTGGAGTGAATAATCTACTCTTCTCAATACCCTGTAACCAATGAGCCATCCCGATAACCCAAGCTATGTGCACCGAAGGGCCTTGAGTGTCTGTTAGTGTTTGTTTTTGTCTTCTTAAACTTTTGCTTTGCACTATCTTCCATTAGGATAGAGAAGGAAACTCATCTGTGAGTAAACCTGTTGTCTAGTAGCTCCGGTTTGGGCCAACTGAAAACGATAAGTGCAATCAGGGGCTGTGAACGAGCTGTTTCTCCCCTCCCTGAAAACAGTCATCAGGTGATCTTGGTCTCAATCATTGCAATCAGCTGGTGCATGAACACCTGTTTCCAACTAGTAGCACTGCATATGTTTGGTGGAATAACTGAAGCATCAGCCCTTGTGTCTCAGCCCCTCCGGTGTGAAGACACTCAGGGGTAAAGACATACGTGTCTACCTGTGCATGTCCACAGAGCAGGTACACAGAGCAAACAAACTTGACCCAGACGCTGCTCCATCGACACCTTGCAAAATGCGCCATCATCCTTTACCTGTGATCACTGGCTTCAGAGGAAGGTCACACACAGCAAACCGCTTTCACAACCTTCAAAACCTCCGCTTGCTAAAACCAACTCCCCCCGAAGACATCCACCTGTCTATGGGATTTGGAACTGCCAATCAGCTGTAAACAAAGCAGACTTCATTACCACATATGCAAACCACCTGTCACTCGATGCACTGGCTCTCACTGAGACCTGGACCAAACCATGTGACAATGCTACCCCATCTGCTCTCTCAATTAACCACACTTTCTCCCACACTTCTCGTGCATCTGGCCGAGGTGGTGGAACGGGCATGTTAATTTCCAACAAATGGATATACAGTCAGTTGCTACCCATCACTAAATACAACTCCTTTGAATACCATGCCATCCAGGTAACTGTACCGAAAAATTATTTTTGGTTGTCATATATCGCCAACCAGGTCAACTGGCAGACTTTCTTGATTAACTCGACACCCTGCTCTCCTCCATTCCTGAGCACGACTGTCCCACAATGGTCCTTGGAGACATGAATATTCACCTGGACAATCCCAGCTCATCAGACTTCCTGTCACTAATGTCATCATTTGATTTAAAACTAGTACAAAGTCCTCCAACTCACAAAGCTGGAAACGCACTTGACCTCATTTTCACCAGAAACTGTGTCATAGACACAATCTCTGTAACTCCGCTGCATCTTTCCGATCATTACTTCATCCATTTCAGCATAACTCTACATGGAAGGTCCACTACTTCCTCCCCTACGGTCTCATTCCGCCGCAACCTCCGCAATCTGACACCCATCCACTTCTCCTCTCTTGTTGCCTCCACTCTTCCATCTCCCAGCACATTCTCTGCTTATGAAGTGAATGAAGCCACCGAGTCACTCTGCTCCACACTCTGCTCTTGTCTTAACAACTTGTGCCCTTTAGCCACTAGACCTGCTAGATGCTCTCAGTTGCATCCTTGGCTAAATGATACCCTCCGGTCTCTACGCACCAATCTTAGAGCTGCGGAATGGAAATGGCGCAAAACAAAAGATCCTGGTGATCAACTGAAATTTCATGAATTACTGTCCTCATTCTCTGCCAGCATCACTGATGCAAAGAAAGCTTTCTACACTGACACAATTCTCAGCTCTACTGACTCTCAGAAACAAATTTCAACATTCAAAACTCTGCTAACCCTCCTTCTCCACATCCAACCAACAATCTATCAGCTGACACCTTTGCCTCATTCTTCACTGACAAAGTGGCAGCTATAAGCAAACAGTTAACTCAACTGGCCACTCCTGAACATTCGTTACCACAAACTCCTTCTAGCCCAACCATCTCAAGCCCTACTGCTTCATTTTCCTCCTTTTCCCCTGCACTGAGAACTGTGTGTCCAAGCTTCTCACGTGCAGCCGCCCCTACTACATGCCCACTGGACTCCATTCTGACTAAGTTGCTCCAAGCTATTACTCCTACAGTAGCCGCAGCAGTCACACATGTGATCAATGTTTCACTGAAATCCAGAACATTTCCCACCTCTCTCAAGCATGCTCAGGTTAAACCGCTGCTAAAAAACATCTCTGCCTCCAAATCATGTGGAGAAACAGACCTATCTCTCTCCTCCATTTTCTGTCCAAAATCATTGAAAGGGTGGCTTTCAAGCAGATCACAGAATACCTCTCAAGAAACTGTCTGCTTGACCCTTACCAATCTGGGTTCAAAAAGGGTCACTCCACTGAAACTGCTCTGTTAGCAGTGACGGAATCCTTAAAAGAAGCTAGAGCGACTGCCAAATCCTCAGTGCTTATCCTCCTCGACTTATCGGCTGCATTTGATACTGTCAACCATGGCTTCCTTTTGTCCACAGTCTCTAGCATGGGCACATGCCTGGTTTGAATTGTACCTCACAGGACGATCATTCAGTGTATCTTGGCTTGGACAATCCTCTACCGTGCACCATCTTGCCACAGGAGTCCCCCAGGGCTCTGTACTAGGACCTCTTCTCTTTGCCATATACACCACCTCACTGGGTGAGATCATTTGATCACATGGCTTCTCCTACCACTGCTATGCAGACGACACCCAGCTCTATCTGTCATTTCCACCGGACGACCACACTGTTTCTGCACGAATATCAAACTGTCTCTCTGACATATCAAAATGGATGAAATCCCACCATCTCCAACTCAACCTCTCTAAAACTGAATTACTTGTTATCCCAGCAAAATCATCCATAGAGCACATTATCTCAATCCAAAATGACTTCCTATCTCTGGCTCCTTCAAAGGCAGTTCGAAATCTGGGTGTTGTGATTGATGAACACCTGAGGTTTAAAGATCATGTTACCTC